TAAAAATATATTATAAAGAATTGTGCAAGAATAAAAGAAAAAATATGTTTTTTAGAGACAGTAGACTATCCGAATCCGACAAAAGAAATCAGAATTGCCTATTTTCAGTGCATCAGGCATTGTGAAGAGCTGCAGCCATATTTAAACCTTTAGTTGGCTCATACCCTTAAAAGAGAGATTTTCTGTGAATGATAAATACATTTTAGCACATTTAGTTAACTATTCTCAAAACAATATGATAACATCCTTTTGAATCAACTAAAGGAAAATAGATATTTGTGTTTATTACCTCTGTACGGACGCTGCTGTGACACCTGAATTTCCCCTCAGCGGGACAATAAATGCCATTTCTATTCAATTCTATTCTATTACAAAGGGTTAGTTTGTTTACCTGACATTTAACATTTCCTTTTAACAGTTACAAATGTTGTTCTCCAGCTTTTTAAGTTGTTTCAACTGTGCAATCAGAGCACTTTTAGCAGGCAAGAAATGTAATATTTAAATAAAATGTGCTTGAATTCTTATATAAAGTTTAGGTGGTTGAAAGTTTTAAACCACAGTTTTTATGACGACAAACTTGTATCTTTTATCAGTGTGTGTTTTCTTGTCAGGCCTTTCGATGAGAAACGCCCAGGAGGAGGAGCCCCAGGACCCCCAGCTGGTGCGTTTGGACAACATGCTGCTAGCGGAGGGCGTCGCGGGGCCGGAGAAGGGCGGCGGGGCCGCCGCCGCCGTGTCTGCCGCCACCAGCTCGGGAGGGATGTCACCTGACAGCTCGCTCGAGCACTCCGACTACAAAAGCAAGTTGAGCCAGATTCGCAGTATCTACCACACTGAGCTGGAGAAGTATGAACAGGTACCGTGTCGCTACAGGAGTCCAGCCCCTGACTTTGCCTGTACATGCTCACCTGATCTGAAGCTGCCCTCCAGGACTAAAAACCATTGACGTGTTAAACTAACACTTCACATAGCTTTAGTTCGGGGTGGGGAGGACATTCCTGGATAGGTTTCATAAGTTAGAGTCTTTGTGAACTCTGCTATAAATCTTAGTCAATAAAAAAATTCTCAGGCAACGTTTTTTTTTATCCTACAACAAAAACAAACTCTAGGGATGACTTAACATAATTTAGGGAAGTGCAACTTTGTTCTTATCAACAGTTTCAGGTTAACATAGCAGTTTTATCTGGCTTAGTTTGAGTAAATAAATGTACAGCTGGAAGTATTCACAGCTGGAAACATCATTATAGATAACCAACATGTATTAATGTCTCTCATTTGTTTTTCTGTGCTCCTCTGTTGTTTCACCGTGAGCCAGGCGTGCACAGAGTTCACCACTCACGTCATGAACCTGCTGAGGGAGCAGTCGCGCACTCGGCCGGTGACCCCGCGGGAGATCGAGCGCATGGTGGGCATCATTCACCGCAAGTTCAGCTCCATCCAGACCCAGCTGAAGCAGAGCACGTGTGAGGCCGTCATGATCCTGAGGTCCCGCTTCCTGGACGCCAGGTGGGCCGTTTCACTTCTAAAAGACAGATTTTAAAACTCACAGCTTTATTTTTATATTTATCTATGCAGGGACAGTACAACAAAACATCATCTGTAGGCAACAGATGCAGCGTACACAAGGCTTCTAGCTAAAAGCTCATTCACAGCCTAAAGGGCTCGACACACGGGGAGCGACAAACTACAGCGATTAACGGCTGTCATCGCAGCCAGGGTGAAAACCCGACACACGGGATGCGATAGCGATCGCAGCGTTGCGAATCACGCTCTCAGATCGCTTRTCTTCACAAAATTTGATTGGTTCTTAACTCTGAAGGCGGGTGTGCATTACGGACGTGTAAACTAAACAAATCTTGCGATGCTAATGATACTGAAAAACAAACACACA